GAGCCAGAATATCCTGTACGAGACAACTTTGTTACAAGGGAAATTGTGGCACAGGCATGCGATTTTCAGCTCCTCCACACGGCACTGTTAAACCAGGCTGTACACAGTGCCAGAGTAACTCTGCTCCGCAACACGATGCTAGTGCAGCGGCATCCCGTTACTTGAATAAAGACCTTTTCTTTCGTGGTTCTTTGAAACAAATGTAAGAAAGGAAAGGTGAACAACTGTAGAGAAGAATAAGTGAAAGCTGATCTTGTGTGGGAGGCAGCCAGCGCTGTGGAGAGCATGCTGTCACGTAACATCCTTGTAGGAAACTTGGCCCAACCAAACATTTCTATCATCAAAAGCGAGTGACCCGAACAGCTGGATGTCTGCTGTGGGCAGCGGGGTGGGCGCAGGCAGAGCACCGGCGCTTGCTGCCTTCCCCGCTGCTGGCAAAGGGTGAGGGGATCTTGCGTGGGGCTGAGCACCCCCGGCCCCGGCCAGCCTCTGGCCATACCCACAGCCTCTCGCAAGGCAGCGGCTGATACGCTCCTGTGTTTGGAGGCCCAGAAAACATGGGGTTTTTTTCCTTCTTCTTTCATACTGAAAAAAGTTTAAAGATGGAGTTGCACCTAAAAAAAAGTAACTTAAAATTAGTTTCACCAATTTTCCAGAAAAGAAGCACTACAAACCCAGGAAATGGATATATTACGGTAGAGAAACAAACCCAAAGCTGGCCTCAGTGCACTTTTTTGCAAAACATAGGCAGCCTGTGGCCTTCTGCCACTGAAAACATTTCAGGTGTAGTTTATATTGATGTTTAGCATTTTAATTGACTCCAAATATTAAAAAGCATTGGTTTGGAAAAGTATCTGTTTGCCAGAATGCAGCTGTGGGTGCGTGGCTGAGGGTGGAGCATTTCACCAACAGCAGATCAGATTTGTCCGATTACTTAAAAAAATAAAACCAAATTTAAACGCAGACCCAGCCACACACTGTCACTGAAGCTGAGGCCAGTGGACGCTGCTGGGAGCGAGGGGAGGCAGGAGGATGCGAGGCTTTGCTCCCAGCACCACGCGTGGTCTGACTAAATCACAGTTTACCAGCACTGTCCCAGGTACTAGGGAGGAACCTGTTAAAGACATGGAAGTACAACATTCATGAATAATAACCATTATTTTAATAGTCAGTGGCTTACAGCAGTTAAAAATACAAAACTTTGCACAAGTATACACACATACATCCACAAATACACAGATGCGTTTTCAGGATGGTGCTACTTCAGCCTCCCTATTAGGAAAGAGATGGGAAACAAGGTGATGGCTTTCCTTATCCATCTTTGTAATTCTTTTGATTTGCAGCACAAGTCATTTTACTTTTTGCATTGGACTCAATCCAAACATCTTCAAACTTGAGTGCCCCAAAATGGGAAACTTTCTTATCGGTGGTCACTGGAGATTCTCCAGAAGCGGGTGTTATACAGGCCTGATGCTGGACATATATATAATCGAGCACTTAAAACTTTGCCTTTAATAGAGCACTGTTTAAGCAAGCACCAAATTAAGGGAAGTAGGTTGCTGATGAAGGGCAGAAGGAAGAAGACATCACTTGGTCCGATGGTAGCAGGCTGAGAAATCTCAGAATATCTCCTTACAGCAAGCTGGGTAAAGCACAAGGAGCACCTCTGCAGAATGAGACCAAGAAGTCACTGCTGTGAAGATGAAGGTGGCAGTTTAGCAGTGTAGAGGAGAGATCTCCTGGAGTTACTGCAGGCAAGCCAAATGCCATACAGAAATCTACCTGCAGGCATCTGGACACTGGCAATTTTTTGAGAGTGAAAAGGCTCTTGCAGGGCAGAAATAGTCCTCAAGAAACATTAGCTGGAATTGTTGCCATCAGTTATGACAGGGATCCACACTAGGCAGCATGACCAGCGTTAGATATTACGTATTTGAATACAGACAGACAAAACTTAGAAGACACAAGATTGTTGCAGGGTAAAGGTTAATTCAGCGGTTACATCAATGATTCAAAAAAATCATAAACCACACATGTAATTTCCTAAACCCTAAAGTACTAGATTACCAGTCCAGCAGCAACATGATGTTGGGCAGGACCCTGGCATGGTCTGGTGTCCCCAGAGATCTGCTCCCTGCACACATCCATAGCAGAATCTCTGCATTTGGACTGTGACAGTTTCAGAGATAGCTGGTTGTGGGGCAGCTGGTGACTCCAGTATGTTGGGCTGTTCAGGGTCCAGCAATCTCCGCCTCTCTGAAGTTCAGGCTGGTTTTCGGCTGCTTCTTGCTGGTTTCTAATGCCCATATTTGCTAAGATTATGCTAAGGTCATCTTACTTTACTGTTAATACTAACATTTATGTGCTGTCTCCTACGATACTTAAAACTTCACCCTCCACGCAAGAGCCATCCATCACTGGGTGCAGGGGCGGTGGCCCCAGCCCAAAACCTTCACAAAGAAGGGTGCTGGCTCACATCTGTCACACGGTCTGCCAGACCAAAGCAAGTCAAGCTTTCTAGCATTGTTAAAGGTTTCCAGAAGTTAAACTTCCAGCAGGTGAATCTGACACTGGATATGCCAGTCAAAGTGATCACCTGCCTTCTAATACAGGTGAAGAAACCTGGGACAACAACTTCACTACACTGGTGCTGTGAGATGACACCTACGCACAAACAGCCGGTATCAGCTTGACTGCAAGCACCCCACAAGGCTACATCCAGCATTTGAACAGGCCTTCTCCTTCTGACCTCGTCCTACTTGGGAGGTGAGCAAGTTGACTTTGAGGAAACGCTGAGATTTGCTGAAGAGATAGTCCTTTGGGTTGGAGCCCAATTCCTCCAAAGGAACTGGCCCCATGGTTACAAAAGAGTTATCCATAGAAAAAAAAAAAAATCATCAGAAGAAATTGCCTAGGGTGGTTACTTAGTAATTCCTAGCCCTGATATGAATGGAAGTGGCAGAATTTGCACAGCAGGAAAAACAGCTGGTATAGCAGTCTCTGGCTACCTGCCAGGGCTAAAATATATTTGAGCTACGAAGAAGGGAAAGCCTTTCACCGTTGGATCTTGTCAAAATGCTCAAGGAAGCCTACTGCCTGTTTTCCTGAAGAGTCTGTACAGCCTGATTAGTCAGGGCCTCTGAATCTGAGGTGAAGCCGTTGACCCTATTCATTGCTGCACCTTTGTGAAACATTGGCTTGGAGCCCCCTGCAGATACTGCACATCCCTTACTCTGGGGTAACAGCTCACGGGATGGCTGATCACGAGGAGACATGGGTTGGTTTGGGGGGAAAAGGTGAACAAGGAGCATGAATATCGCAGCCCCTAAGACAAGGGGGGAGATATGAAGCAATTCCCCTTTTTCCAAAGGGGTACGTGTGGGGAAAATAAACAGCCACAAAAAGACATCTTGATATAACTCAGAAAAAGCATAGCTGAAATTTGAAAGCTGCAATGAAAGTACCAACTCAGGCAGTCTACTGCCAGGAATAGAGGGCTTGGTTCATGCCCAGCGAGCACCAGTAAAGCCAAGGACAGTCAGATCTGCATTGCACATGCAGCATATATGAATATTTTAAGTACGGCTGCTCAAAGGAGTAGTGAGCACTTTGCTGTATTTCACCTTCAGCATGTTTAAGTAAGGCCTCAGGCTTGCAAACTTTATGGCAAATTGGTAACTTAGCTCATGGCACAAGCATACAAACACCACCGTCGCAAGCAGAGATTCGGGTTAAACTTTCCACCTGCTCTACCCAAACTCAAAATTACAGTTGTGTTGCTGAGGGGAAGCTATTGAAGGAAATAACCTTGGAGAGAGGGCAATAGGAATGAACAGCTGGGAGTAGGTTGGGGACAGCAACGATTTAAATTGCATCTGCCACAGATGGACTTGTTCAGCTCACTGTGTCCCTGCCCCCTCCCCCCCTCCCATATTCATATTTAAGTCAATGGGGACTATTCATGTGAACAAGAACTTGCACAACTGTTTGTCCAACCTGCCAGTCAGGATGTTCACATCCTCTTGGGACTAGACAGATGCAGGGATATCAAGTACAACCGACACTCTGCAAAGAAGTCTTCTGGTGCTCACATTCCTTACAGAATTTAGCATTCTTTATGGTGGGAACAAAAAACGTGTCTTTGATCTGGACAGGAGAGAGATGTCAGCTCTGAACAAGGAAAAGTTTACACAGAAACTTTGAAATATTAACAAGTATTTCTAAAAATATCCCCCACTGTCCTCATTCTTACTTTTTTTTTGTGTTTAAGAAAACAGCCCCCACCAAATCCAACACTTCAAACTTACCAGTCTCATATCTCTCGCCATCTATTTCCTAGGCTCAAGGGAATGCCCGCATCTCGCCACCTCTAAGACAAGGTAAGCACTACAGCAGCAAAGAAAACCCACAACTACATAGCAAGTAACTGTTCAGGTCTGTAGCATAATCAGGTCTTAATGCTTCAACCTAAGCTGGCACACACACATAAGGAGAAAAGTTGCTGCAGCAGCAAGCCTCATGCTTCAGTTTTTCCTACCCTCTTCACTCCCATCCCCAAACTTCTGCTCCATGCTGTCTTCTCAGACTATGGCATACCTTCAGGTGGATAAAACTAGTTTTAAAAGGGTTTTAAAGCTATTGACTCAAACTGAGTTTAAAACATTTAAATTAATAAATACCAAAACTATGAAGGATAGTTTGAAGAAGCTGCTGGTTCAGCTCAACAAAGCTATGAGGTTTTACACTGTTAGAATAAAGAGCCTAATTCAAGAACCATACAACTTATACACATACTTCTTATGTTACTCCTTACATACTAATGAACATTTGCATCACTCAGAGACCAGGTATTGCACTGGCTGCAGCTGCCGAAAATGCTGGGTGAGGTATTCACATTGAAACCAAATTCTGCTGTGTTCTCTCCAGCAACTTGTCCTAGTAAGTTAATGGGGAAGACGGTGTAGCAGCATAACTCAAAAGGAAATGCCAGAAGCTAAAAATACTTTGAAAAATGTGTCATTTTATTTGTACACTTCCAAAGTTGTACGTAGAAACTTATAGTACAGTCCTGTAAATTTACTCATTGCTAGAAGAACGTCCAGGGACACGTGAAGGTATTTATTGATTTATCATCAAGTTAGAGGGGAATAAACAAAAAAAAAAACCCACTGGAAAAAAATTTTAAAAGTTATGGAACTTTCTCTTTTTTTTTTTTTTTTTTTTGTTTTTAATCCCCAAGTACAAATTTTATAAATACAAAACAAATTCACAAATTACTTTGAATGCTAAATAAATATCTACTCAATAAACTCAGACTGAATACCTCCAGCCAGCACTGGTACAGTACTTAAAAGATATGCAGTTGTACTCATTCATGTGTAGTGTTGAGAAGATATGCTCAAACAAGTTTTAAACATACACACAGTTTCTTCAACTGTGCTACAGCAGAAGATTTTATCTGAGTTGATAAAGCCCTCGATACCACAGCTCCTACAAAATCTAGAGGATGAAACAAAGGTCATTGGGTGCAGGAAAAAACAATGTACTTCTGGAAGATATTTGGACACATGAATGTATTAAAAATGTACAAAACCTCTGTAAACCAGTACTGTATCCAGTACATCTATCAAAATTATTAGACACTGAATAAAACTGTAGCAAAGGTAATCTTTCCTACGTTCTCCTGAGTGCTTAATATTACATTGAGAATATAGTGCAGGCCACACTTCAAGGTGGTTAAACAGTTGTTATTGCTTTATACAGGTATGACGACTGCGTGATTTTAACATTTCATTTTAATGAACATAACAGATTCCCTCAAAAAATCCTTTGGAAGGCAGAGGTTAGATTCGTGACTTCTTTGCCGCGGGAGCGGCGTGGTCCACATTACCAGATGTGATCGGAAGTCCAAGCTTTTGAGCCTGAGTGTGGAAAAAAGCTTGAAGTCTAGTTCCAGCTTTTGCTTCGCTTGTGTTACGAGGGTTGTATTCAAAGCAGTTCGAAAACATCAGCTCAATGTCTTCAATGAATTCCGCTAGTGAACAGAAAGTAAATAAATTAACTTAGTGTGTCTCAATTCATCAGAGAACAGTACGATAAAGCAGTACGACAACACTGAATTAGTACAGTGATCCTACACAGAGTTACAACACAAAAATGTCTTTACATATGTGTCAAGTTTCTATCATTATATTAATGAAGTGCCATGTAAACATTCTTGGATTTCTCTGATTATCAATAAAGGAAATAAAAATCAAGCAGTAACAACAGTACCTTTTCTAAATATTTCAGTGTCACTCACTGACATCAAAGGCTCGAGAAATTAACAGCAGTTTCTCAACTGCTCATTTCTTACCTATCTGTACATCACGTATTTGCGTAGTAAAAAAACAAACAACTATGCTCAACAAATATTATTTAAAAAAATATTAGTAACTGCTCTTTTAAAAAAACAAAACACACCACAAAACCCCAAACAAAACACAATTTCAGCTTTCTAATCCTCTGATACAGCCCTATTTTAGGACAAGAATTTATTTTAAAGAGACACAACAGGCTTCATTACCTCTTTCAATAAATAATACTTACATGCTAACTTATATTCACATTTATTCACTTTTTCACGGATTATATTTAAGGCAATAGGTTTTTTGATGATATCATAGTAGTCTGGTACCTTAAAAAAAAAAAAAAAAAAAAATATATATATGGAAGGTTAACATTCTACCGATGTAAAAAGTTAAGCAAATCATGCATTAGCAGAAAGCATTTTGGTTTTGTTTTTAAATAAACAGAGGAGTCCCACGCAACCACCTCCATTTCCTGAACTAAGTATTAGTTTTCAGGTATTGCTTTTCCATTTTTTATATCATTACAGTAGCAGACCACAACAAACATTAGCCAGCAATTCAATGAATAAATCTAATCCCAAATACCCTGTGAATAACTGTAAGAAAATCGCATGAACAGATAAGCATTATGGTGTTCCAGCTATTCCCGTAAGTCAAGCGCAAAAATTATTTCCAAGATTTTAGAACTCTTCATTTTCCTGTAACATATTACAGTATTAAAAGCTCCTTAATCATGAGTAATGACCATTTTTACTCCACTACTATTTACCATCTTGCAAGAAAAATGAAATCCTGAGATTCCATTTAGTTGTGTAGAAGAGAAGGTAGTGAGCCTTTCTGTAGCAAGCAGGACACAGTATGCAAGTACCAGAGGTAAAGAGCCACCTAGAACAGCCTTTATGTGATAAAAGCGAGGGGAGGGAAAGGATTGCCTAACCTTAAGGGCACTGATCATTTGGATCACAGATTTTGAATTCCAGGTAAGCACCAAGCTTAGGGTGACTGTCTCACTCACAAAGCGGGGCAGGGGGCGACAGAAAAAGATACCTGATCAAAATTTGACCTTTTTTTTTTCCCCCCAAGAAAAAAATACCCACATGCATCACCATGTATGTTTTAAACCCAAGTTCTTGGTTATGGCCTGTAATTTTACTATATCAAGTGCAATCTCCAAATGAACCTAGAGAAAGCATTAGCAGAGAAACAGAATTAGATTGACACATTTTTCATTCCTTTCCTTTAGGAGTGCTGTTTACATAAGTACTAAAAAGAAAGGTAATTTTATCTTTCCAGCTTGCTGTGCACTGATGATTCAATGTATTCTTTACAAGGCAGCAAAAAGTTTAAACCAGAATTTCTATCATGATGAAGAAAATTTGGGTCACTCAGGTATGGTTTTTTCTTTCCAAACTATACAGAGTCTATCCCTTAGTGATTGATTCCGCCAAACCAGAATGCATTGAATTCTGGTAGCTTCTTTTCAGGATCAAAATTAAGTTGAATTCTCCATCCCTCCTTAAGAAGCTTCCTTGCATTCACCAGATTCGTGCACTTTCCAGTGTAATTCCTGTACTCTAGTAAGCAGATACTAGTCTCCATCTCATTCAAAATTCCTCTCCTCCTCCTCTGTGCTTACATCTTTAATTCATGTTTGCATATCATTCTTTTTGTTCAGATCCATTAATCCTTCCAGCTATCTGTGACTCTGAATTGAGAGCTTCAAGTCTTCATTTAACAGCTATCTCTTAATTTTAATAGAGCACTTAAACACCAAGCTCTAGATCCTGCATGAGCGTCTGTGCAGAGGGCTTGGAGAGGACAGGCACTTTGTTAGGGTAGGATAGTTCCAGCAGTGCCTTACGACTGACAAGCCAGTGCAGCCTGCAGAAAAGCAGACATACTGTGGGAACTTCTATTGTAATATAAACCTCTAAAGCAGCACTTACTTTGGGTACCTACTTTACCATCAAGTATTTCAAAATCTAAACAAGAGGGAAATTAAATTAAGAACTAAGCTAAGAAATCATCTTTTTACTGCATTATAGTTAACATCAGAGTGAAGTTGTTCCTACCTTGTTATTTTATTGCAAGTCTGTTCTCAAAATATCTTTTCCTAAATTGAAGATTAATTAAACTAATTAATAACTGTAAGCTTACCTTTAGCAGTCCTGTGCTCCATTTGGGGTTTTTAGTGGGTTTTTTTTTGTTGTTGTTTTTGTTGATTTTTTTTTTTTTGTTTGGGCTTTTTTGTTTTGTTTTTTCCCAAATCAAAGCATGTCATATTTTTAAATGCCTGATGGCAAGGATATGTAAAATTTTCCCAGTAAATGTGAATTGTAAAAGTTGTTTCTGGCACCAAATATTTGAGCTGAAATGTGAGAGTTCTCCTGAATCCCATTGCTTAGCTGTATCCCCCTATTTGGGCAATGCTATAAAAATCCCAGGTTTTACTGGCAGCAAACAGGATTCTCAACCATTATCATTCCCTCTACAGTTCTATCAGTTACCTGGATTTTGGAAACCAGTTTCATGAAAGGCCAGCTGTCATCATGTCGTACCAGTTCCACTACAAGTTGTTCAAAAGCTGAGAGTTCATGGACTCCCCCGTGACGTCCTGAACTTCTCCTGTTCAATGACGTTTGAGGAGACGATTCTGGAAAAAAAGAACAGCCCACCAGATAAAAATAAAAACCTGACAAGTAAAATAAAAAAAATTTAAAAAATACAAAAAGTGAAACACCATTATTCTTGGGTACTAAAACTGTAGTTTCAGGGCATAACTCATGTAGTTTGGCTTCAGGCATTAACTATACTACAGTCTTGTTATTAACCACTAAAAGTCTCTCTTGCTGTACGAAATGCTAAGCACCAGGACTTAGCTGGGTTCCTCTTCCATTCTCCTTCATTGCATTCATTTTGGAAAGGATTTTTTCACTGATTTCAATTTTAAAACAATTTGTTAAACACTTAAAGAAAAGCCCTATTACAGAAAAACAGAATAAGCCGCCTGCTCATAACTTTTACTTCCACAAAACCTCTATTCAGAGTGGTTTTATCTGCTTTCAAGAGTAGTCAGCAGGGTGGTTAGAGGATAAGCCCAGAAACTCCCAATGGTGAAAGACAGAAATGGTACAGAATACAAGGCTGCCACACTGGAGTACAAGCTCTTTTACACCCTTCAGTCTCACACTGTGTCCTTTTTGTTTTTAAAAGGTTATTGTAGCTTTCCAAGTATTTTGCTACCATCAAATACTTGGTATTAGCTTAACCAGCAAGGACACTGTTAGCCCTGTACCAGATAGAGGACATTTTTCTTCTGGCAGCAGTTTCTTGCTGTATGTGTATATTCCCAATTTCACTACCTTGCCTACATCTGTGTTCTTCGCTGTTTAACTCTTTAATAAAACAAAACCATAAAAGCTGTAAGTAAACATTTGCATGGGTTAAGGCATAAATATCACTTGCACATTTTCTATCCACTTATTAGCAATTGCTCCATATTGTGTGCAAATATGAAATATCAAAGATGGATATGATAAATTTCCTTGGCAAATCTAAGAATTTGTTCTTTAGATGACTGAAATTCTTTTAAGGTTCACTTCTGTCACTGCAAAAAGAAGCGAAGTGTCTTGTTGGAATTGGTAAAAATACTTTAAACCACCACTTCTAGTCTCTTTGCTGTACCACACAAATATTTTAGCAAGGAACAGAATGTGGTTTTCACTCTGGACAAACACATTTCTCTAACCTGCAGATTGTCGTTTCCTGCCTCTTCTCTTGGGTTCAGTAACAGGAAGAGAAAGCTTTGAAGCAGAAACTGGATACTTCCTAAGCCGTTCATTCGAGTCTGCAGTATCAACAATTCTAAATCCAAGAGAATTGGAAGGGTTGTTTTCCAGTGTGTTATCACCACTCTTTCTTCCTCTTCGTCTTCTTCGAGGACTGAGTAATTCCACGAATACATCTGTCGGTAATGAACTTTGGCTCTGACGAGTGGTCCGGCTATTAAGTCTTAAAGGTGGCTTTGTCACTGACGAAGGGGCTGATTTTACCTTTCTTATACCCCTTCTGGTAATTTTAGATGAAGATTCAGTATGCTTAGGTGTGTTTTGCTGACTCCGAGAAGCGTATCTTGCCTGACGCTGGCTGTTCTGACTTGAGAACGGATTGTTGAGTTTGGCTGCTCTCATTTTTAATGGAAACTTGACCTCGGGTCTTCCTTGCTTTGATGGGCTACAAAAAATGATCAATTATGTTTATTTATCCCCAAATTCCATTCCTCTATTTTCCCTCAGTTTTTTTATTCAGTATTTAAAAACTCAGTCATTCAAGGTTGGACTGGTACGCAGCTGGCTTTCAAGCTGATACAGTCATTCAATTACCATTATCTTAAATACTACTCTGAAGTCTCTTAATTAAATATTACATGAAGCACATACTTTAAAGAAACGCTCAGAATTCTGATCACCCTTGTAGCTTGTGCAATATGAATGCATTAACTGGAGCACTAGCTGTCCATTTCTTTAAATCACTCACAGCAACTGTAACTACTAGGATTTTTAAACAATAAATAATACATAAACAAACCGCAGTTCTAAAACACTAAGTCTCAAAGTTATGGTCTAGTCAGGGTTTATAACTAATACTCAAGACTCTCTTTCCATTACAGGAAAGAAGGAAGATCCCAGGGATAAAATTTACTTCTCAAGGAGATGCAAGTTCTCTCCAACTACTGAATCCCAACTGTCAGAGACAAATAATCTTGCTTCAGTCAATTCCAAAGACTGTACTAAAAAGAAGAAAAATACTCCCAAGATCAGGAAAGTTTCCTTCAACTTTTACACTCCTGGCATGTGTATCAAATCCATCACTTTACTGAAATAATCATACTGGATTATTTAGTTGTTTGGTGTTTTTTTTTGTTTGGGTGGTTTTAGTGGGGGGTTTCTTGGTGTTTGGTTTTTTGTTTTAAATGGCTACTGCAGAAGTCCTCAAGTCCTCCCAATGTCACATAGCCTCCGGCAGATGACCCTGTCTTCCCTAATGTTCCAATACTTACTGTATGCGTCTAGTCCTACAAAATTCAAAACCGGACAAAAAGAACTCCAGGTTTTCTCCAGAAAATCTTTACCGTTTGAAACTCTCTCCACTTTATATTCAAACAGTAGCTGTACAGAACTGCAACTCTGATGGTCATGTCTCACCCATACATCCAAGGCTGGAATTTTCACCCTGAAAGGTGAGTCCAAGTCCAGTGGACCTAACTTTTGTTAATATTAAACCCATCAGTAAGAGCCAAATTCGTAACAAGCTGCCATTTTTTTAAATAACCATCTTTTTCAGACTGGATTTTCAAGATATGTGCTTATGTGAACAATAATCAAGATGATAATTCAGTAGGAAATAATTTTAACAGATGTCTACTTACCTTATCTCTTCCTCCTCCTGAGATTCATCCTCCTCATCTTGCTCTTCTTCATAATGCTCTTCCTCGCTTTGTCTCATTTCGTCATAGTTTGCCTCTTCTTCCCCTTCTCCTAGTCGTTCAGCAGTCTCTTCATCGCTTTCCATAGAAGGTCTCTGTCTGGAGGAGAGGCGTCTAGAGCGCTGTTTTGGTCGGCACTCTGGACAAAACCAGTCTCCTTCAGGAATGACCTAGAAACAGAAGAAAAACAAAAAAGAAAGCATTAGTAATATGCAATTAAGTCGTAAGAACTACTCAAGTTTTGTATGAAAAGGAAGCACTTCTTTTTCCTGAGATACCTTCAGCTTGGGCCTGATACAGTAAGTATGATAGCCTCGATCGCAGCTATCACACAGCACCATGCTTTCTGCATCCCCTTTCTTTCGACACACTTTACAGCGAGCATTGAGGATGGACTTTGACCAGATGACACTTCGATCCAACGTAGACAGATGAAGGAAGACTTGGGACAAGCTGGTAGAAGAAAGAAGTGACTCTCTCCAGCGATCCAAAACTGTTTTATAGGACCGTCCACCATCACTGGCATCTTCCGTTAAAGAAGGGGATTTAAAAAAAAACAAAACACAACAACAACAAAAATTAGAATGATCAAACTTCTTTTTCAAACATCCAGGTTATTCTAGACTATGAGGTAAGGCTCTGACTTTCAAACAGATAGCAGTAGTAAACTGGGATATTATTATAACCTTTGTCTTAGCTCTTCAATACCTGAATATTTCCTCCTTAGTTTCCAAGCTGCTGAAGCCATAAGATTTTACTCTTCAATACCAAATCAACTTAGAACTTGCACATACATAGGACATGAGTAACACATAAAAGTCTTACTCAGATGTCAACCTGGAAACCTAACAATTTGATTCAATTTATGAAGTACAAATGAAGATTACTTAAGATAAAACAAAACAATCACACTCCCAATTTACTTTCCCTTGTATGTACATTTTGAAATCCCAAAATATTTAAAAAGTAAGTACCTGGCATTAAACCGAGCCTTCACTGGTGAAAAACAGCTTAAAGGGTTCTTCTCACCTGCACCTGCCCCAGTATAGCCTAGCAGACAATCTTTCAGCCTTCTCCCCACGTCTCAATGCCTTTATTCCTGCCCTGCACTGCACTCCACCTTCACATGAACCTGCACATCTGTGTGGTTAACCAGATTGGGTGACTGATCTGGTTGAAATATAACTGTTTTCTTGATATTTCATAAACGACATAGCACGCATGAATCTATGATACACACCTAGTGGCAAACCAAGTAAGATCTGGGATCCTAATTAAATTAGAAATAAATGAGGGGGAGGCAGGTGTCAGAAATTATATTGTATTTTCAAACAAGTTTGGTCTGCAACCCAGGCCACTGAAGCAGCCACAGAAATACACACACAGAATAGCGAGGGGGGCGGTACCGAATGGGAACAGGAACGAACCGTGAGGAATTACAGAAGCAAATGGGCTGTTTGAGGAGCTAGATAAACGAGAATGTAAAAATGACACCCTGCGCTGCTGCTGCTGAGCAGAAAGGGAATTTCTTTATGAATGCTGAAAGTTATTTTTTGCATTTTAAAGCAAGAAGGTTTAAGGAGAGGAAAAGACAACAGAGCAGTATTTTTGATTATAGAAATGTACACCGATTTCCCTTCTAAAAGTGATGGTCCAGTTATTACTGTGTGATCTCTAGCTGATTAATGATGCACTATAAAATGCCACCCTGCCTGCTGCACTAGTCACAGTGGGCACAGGAACGGCCTGTGATCCACCTGTCTGCCAAATGATTTCTCCTCAGGAATAGGAAGAGAAAATACCTAGTAACAAATGAAATGAAGAACAAAAATGAGACTAATTGCTCTCCTGGCAAGGCCTTTCTGTCTTCTCATCAACTGGCTGCCAGGATTTGCCTAATCTTGCATACATTTGCATTAGCAGCAAGCAGCACAAGAGAAGTGATGGGAGGATAAACAGGGACTACAGCTTCATAAATAAAATATAGCCACACCTAAACTGCAAATACAAATCCAGATTTCCTAAAATTTCTTATTACTTCATCCTTAGGTTTCCTGTCTCAAGCTCAGTCTTACTAAAGACAGTGGACAAGTTCACAGCACAGCAATATATTTCTCAATGTATTTTCAAAAATTCATTAAGAAAATTAAAACCACATGTCAGGACACTAGACTCTTAACGAGACCCACTTCAGTTCTGCTTCAGATTTCTACTATAACTCTGGTAAAGACACTTTATCTTAAGCGTAATATATAGTTTGGCAAGCATTTCTTTGGCTGACAATGGCAGCTTGAGCATTATTACTTTTTTTGATGGTTATTTTTAGCCTGGATTGGTTTACCAATATAGTTCATCACACAACACAACAAATATCTGCATTGCAAAACTGCAGTTGCAATATAGAGATAGAAATTACTGACCATGACCTGCTTCAGCATGTCCTGCTGCTGGAAGAAACACACTAAATGACACCTGCTGTTTCAGATCCCAATTTGTGAAATAAGAATAACACCTTTTTTCTTCCATCCATCATCTTTCTCATTTATATTGTTAACTTGGAAGGAGAAATGGCCTCTTCCTTTGTGTCTGAGCAGCTCTACATTGCACAGTGGGATATCCCCCTGTCAGCTAAGCCCTCCAAGCCTCGCTACAATGCAAATGAAGTTGTTTGACAGATCTATGCACTCATCTATCAATAGCTAATTGAGTTCAGGGAAGGGTTTTCCATTTCAGTATTTGTAGAAAGGATATGGAGTTCCACAATGCTGCAAAGGTTAAAAAAAAAAAGAGGGGGAACACACACATTAAAAGGAAGGGAGGAAGGAAGGATTATGTGAACACACAGATTTCTGTCCCAAAGTGAAAAAAAGAAAATATAGTTCTTTATCTCTGGTTGCAGGAAACATGAAAATTTTTTTTTTTTTTTTTTTTTTTTTAAATTTTTGGGGTGTATTTTTTTTTTTGC